CTTAAGAAAATTGATTGATTAGCCATTCATATATTCATTTGGTTTTTTATTTTTAATATTTTAATTCATAATTTTTAATTACATTGAATGAAAAGCAAAGTTTCAGAAGTTATTAGAATTTTGCATGTGTTCAATACAAATGCTCGATTGTGTATTGAGAACTTATGCAACTTCTCTACATTAATTCACTGTTCAAAGTCACTTCCTCCAGCTCATACACACGTTTCACAGTGATGTTGAATGGAGTCCCTGACACAAACCAATTGTCTAGGTTGGCCTGTAATGTCGGTTACAGTTGCTAGGATGTGACCCTTCAGGTTGTCGCAATCTTGTACTTCCACATTATATATTTTTTCTTTGATGCATCTTCATATGGAAAAATCAAGGGGGTCAGATCAGGAGAACTTAGAGGCCACGTATTTTGACCACTAGAACTGATCCATGTGACCGAAAAAAGAATTCAACCAATTGCACACTTGATGTTAAAAGTGAATAAAGGCTGTCATGATGAAATCTTAAGTATTTCCAAATGGTAAGGCATGAATCCTCCAATAAAAAGGGAAATGCCTTTCAAGCATGCTCAATTCTGCTGAGATGATATGCTAACATGTATGGTCCAATTAGGTAAACATCTATGATTCAAACCCAATGTTCATGCTATATCTGTGTTGAACTGAAGAGTGTCAAGTAGCATGCAGATATTCCAGCATCGATGAATCAGGTTGTGGAGATTGATTACTCTAATCCTTGTAAATGTTGTCTCATCAGCCCACAAAACACAGCATGGCATTTACAATTTTGCACAGACACTATTGACAGAATACAAGTTGTATGTGGAAAGGATCCACCTGCTTTCCAAGAATTTTATGCTAAACTCCACTGTGAGAGAGGCCTGTTTTATATGTGACCCAATGAGTACTAGTCAATGGATTAGCATGTATAGCATCTAAAACTTCCTCTTCATTATGCATACTGTGTGGGCCATGGTTAGCATATGCTGTAGGTACAATTGTGCCTGTTTTCCTCATACTGCAGTGTACCATTGCAAACACATGTATTGGCTTGTGTTGCCTGTGATCTAGATACTGACACTGGTATTCCACCAATGCAGCTCTAGCTTTCTGTTACAAAAGCTGAACATGAAATGCATGTCAGCATACTCTGCAATAGTCTTGTGCCATGATATTTTACAGACATTACTATTATGCTAGTGGACGTAATGTGGGACAAAGAAAATGCAGAATGATGTCTCTCTTATGACATTATGAAGACTCCACAACATGGACAAAAAGAAAGTCTGAATAAGTGTTTGTTAGCATCATCTGTCATAATTTAATTCCTCAACATTCTCCTAAAATTTCTCCATAGTATTTTGAGTCACTCTGTAGGTATACTACTGCACGAGTCAAAAATCATTTTTCTTGTAGTTCATTAAGTATTCACTACATCAAAAGATATTTCAAAAGAAAGATGATCTCAGCAAGATATCTATTTTGTATCTCTTAGTATATTTTCTATGACAAACCATTTTTGAGAAATTTAATTAAGTTCACTATGGACTTCATGTAAATTAGATTTTAAAATTGACTAAATGAGACCAAATTCATGGACTACAATATACCACTTTTCATTGAAATCTGCTGTTTTATGAAAATTGGATTTATGCACAAAATATGTACACTTTATAGCAGTCTATTGGAAAATCATATGTTGTACTACTGTGCTGTATTGCATTGATTTTTTTTGGGGGGGGGACAGCCTTGTCTATTCCAATTGCCCCTTAAGCACCCAGACCTCTAATGGTATGTTAGATGTACCTGTGAGTAAACCATTTCATAAGGCTCATACTCATTAAATTGATTGTTTTCCAGTCTAACTTTCTAAGCAACAGCTGGGACATAACAGCCTCAGCTCTGAATGCATTTTTTGTCATGTCATTAAAACTTGGAAGACTGATTACAGTAAGTGCATTCCATATACTATGTGTACCAGTAAAAAGCATAACTTATAAAAACAAGTCTGTTTTTGTTGATAATTTTATAGATAAGGAAGCTGATTTTGGAGTAAACAGGATATTTTCCATAAATGATGCAAATGCATGCAAGTAAGACGTGTGTTCTCTATTTATTATATGGAGAAAGATTATATCTTTCAAAGCTTTGTGGACTGATGATCATCTTCTCATTGTTGAGAAGAATTCAGAGGGTAGAACTGGGATATATTGCTGCATGGTGCCCCCAGAAAATTTCTGGCATGCTCAGGAAATCATTTATACAACATTATCCATACAGCATATCCAGCCCTATGGGGAAAGGATTGGATTGATGGGTGGGGGTGGGGGGAAACCAGAGAAGAGAGAATTACTATGGCTGTATGCCATTTTGACTTGGTGGTTAGGCACAGGGACAATTTTGCCTTTGGCTTATTAAATTTATGCAAGTATATGAGCTGATGCTGAATCTACTGCAGCATATAAAGATCCATTTCCTGTCTCCTCACATCTGCTCTCCCATGTCAACTTAAATATATTAATATGTTGCTAAGGTTTTGCTAAATCTGGCCTTTTCCTTTCTTATATTTGTATTTGCTTCCTTTGGAAAGTGGCATATTGGAGGATATATCTTCATAGGATATGAAGCTTTAAAAATTCTTGTTAAAATACAAAGAGTGTTATGTTTTTCAGAAGACTTTCTTGATGTGTACTGTAAAATTTCAAGTCTGCTATTCTCTAAATGTAGAGCATATTTCCTTGCACAGGAGAAACTCAAAAACACTGATAACCCACACTAGAGCATGAATTGAAATATTGTTAAGTCTGAGAAATGATGCTATGCATGTGCTGTTGGTACAGTACCATTGATGGATTGCAGGAAGAAGGAAGGAGCTTCTACAAATTGTTTCAGACTGTGGATACATATTGTGACATACTAATTGAATGAACATCTGCTGCTAGGCAATGGCTCAATTAAGACGTAAGTCATAGCTAGACAACGGTCTGCAAAACAATAGAGAAGCTATGGAAACGGTATTTTCTATGTGGTCTAACCTGAGGCTATATAGTGAGGGAGAGCATTTGCGAATACTAGTAGAAATAGGACATAATCTGCTGTACTGAGCCTGGATTGACAGAGGCCTTATATATATTGTACATAGAAATAGGAATTAAGATTAAATTTGTAAATACAGTCAACTCTCGATTATCCTGGGGTGGATAAACCGGTTTGTGGCTTAACTGGGGCTACTGAGGCTTTTTTGAGGCTTATATGTTGTTTAATATTCATTCACTTTTGTTTCACATGGTGAGTTGTAACACTATTTTTGCACTAGTGTGAACCGAGCTCTGCATTCTTTGGTCCCGTTATGCTAACACAATGTTCTAGAGTAGGGGTGAAAGAATGCAAGGATTTGTGGAAAGTTTCAAGGACAGATCCATCGCCCCAGTTAGTATCTTTGTATCGATCTTCAAGTGCGTTAGCAAAATGTCAGGGTGTAAAAGGAAGCGTGTTGTGTTAAGTATTCAACAGAAACTTGAAATTATCAATTAGTTGGGAAAAGGAGGCGCAGTTAAACAATTAGCAATGCAATACAGTACTGGAGAACAAACTGTTCGAGATTTGAAAAAACAAAAGTGAGAATGACGAAGAGGTGGACAGTGCTGCTCTTAATCATTTGGAATCCTTACTAGACTATCTTGAGAGTGAANTATGAAGGTACACTATTACAGTACTACTTTTAATAAAATTTGTCTTAACCGGGTTTTCGATTAATTGTGCTTTCCATCCCCACCATTATCCCGGATAATCGAGAGTTGAGTGTATATGTAAATACTGACAATGGACTTACTAATATGGACTATAGTATAGTATAGTATAGTATATACTATGACTATGACTATGACAATGACAGAACCGATCTCTCGTCAGAGAAGGCGCCCTAAATGAACAGGACAGTAACTTTCATTCATCATCTGTCAGATGACAGGTCCACAATCTCTTCAAAAACAGTTCCTCCACTTAATGCAATCTCGAGCTTTCTCCTTCAAATAAAAATATCCTCTTCTGTCCCCAAAGTCATCCAGCATCTTCTTACGTCTTCTTCTGGTCACTTCTATCCCCCCCCCCTCCGGTTTGTTTTGTCTCCAGAGAAACATCTCGCATACATGGTATCTCTGTTTTTGGAGAGAGACTATCCAGGAAAACTTTCATACAAGGAAAAAAATCTGGTCATGAGCCCCAGCTGAGGCTCGACACCAAGACAGACAGACTGACAGACCATCAGTCGCAATGTGACTTGGACTTGGACTTGGTAGCTGTGAGTATTTGCAAGACAGTTGCCAGCCAGAAAGGACCTGAGTATGGAAGCAGAGGAGCATCCACTTTTGGAAGCTGTTGTCAGGCAAAGACTAGTGAAGACATGGAAGCCTTCATGTGTGCTGTAGTTACAGTGGTCTGTAGAGTGTGTAAATCAGTGAAAAGTGTTATAGTTAAACTTTATAGATTGTATCCTGTTGTGTATATAATATTTATCTTATTTTATAACTGTCAACACAACAAATAAATGATAATATGTTCCTGATGATTACTAAAATTATAAGTCGAAACATGTAGCACAATTTAAGCTTACATTAAATAAGTAAGATATATACCAACATCTTCTGTCTTCATTGAAGATTGCTTTATTTGTTGTGTCAGCAGTTATGACATAAGATAAATGTTGCAGTTTCTTGTAATCCTGAATTATAAGAGTCCAATAAATCCAATTATCACTCAAAATCCCTTGTCTAGTCATTAACACCTGACAATATTGTACATTATGACACAAGGGGAAATGATAGTGAGTGATAGCAGACTGTGTGCATTTGTAACATACAGTTTCATGATGACAAGTTTATGATATATGCTGGAGAGAAGAGCCACTTTGAATGCTGTATGTGTGTGTAATTCTAATAAAGGAAATGTTAGCATTACTCCCAATAAATATTTATTTATTATTTTTTGCAGGGGTGGAGTAGCTTTGTGTTTGAGTCCCCAGGGTCGCCGAAACGGTGAAGCTCTTGTCCGATTTATCAACCAGGAACACCGAGATATGGCACTCAAGAGGCATAAGCACCATATTGGTAATAGGTACATTGAAGTATATAAGGCATCTGGAGAAGACTTCATCAATGTGGCAGGAGGTGAGCAACTTAGTAAATGGCAGTATGAAAACACTGATAAATAAATTTTTATATCCAGCAGTGTTTTGCTTAAAATAGAGATACTTAAAAAGCAGTCTGCTTTGGAATTTATCGTATTCACCTAATATACGTAAGGCATTCAAAACAAGAATGAGAAGGGCAAGGCTTGTAGTGTCGATGGATGAGCAAGAAATCTGTATGCAGTTCCAATTAAAAAAATAATGGGAATTATGTAGACACAGTATGGATGATAGTAATATTAAAATACATTTTGGAAGAATATATTGTGGAGATGTGAACTGAATTTATAGACTAGGTGATACAGTTGTACATGTTTCAGAGATTTATTGCAATATAACATTTAAACATCCTCTACTGAGTGGTGCTGGTCTAGTTTCCATTTTGAATTTTCTCAGTGGTGCCATATTGATGTCATTTAAGGTAAGGAATTAACCTCTTGCTGCACCATTTAAATTCACCATATCCATATTTTGCCTCTCTAATTTTAAATATCCTTCTAGACCACAGTTCAGTTCACAAGAACAGAAAGTTGATATTTAATTTTTGCTTTACTTAAATGTACTGCAAAGGTTAAAAGTTTCAACAGTGGGGTTGTCTGCAGTGTCATGGTACCAAAATGAAACAGCCAGTTAGTGTCTATAACACTGACTTCCTAATGTGAAGTAATGCAGCTTATGAATAGAGTTCTACAAATGGGAGTTACAAAATAAGAAAATATTCTGGAAAAGGGAATAAAAATAAAACAAATGGAATGGAATGTAACTATTTTTACTAGATTTGCTGTTGTAGTAAAGCAATCTATGATTCAGAATTACTTAGTTTTTGGAGTCTGTGCATCATTGGGTATTCCAAAAACAAGAATGCATAACATTTCAGAAACTGGATCTGCTTCTGCGGTCAGGTGAGTAAGGAGACATCTGCTCTCTTGGGTCCCCTAGAAACAGCTAACTTCAGTCACTGGACAATCCATGTCAGATTCATTACAAGTATTTAAATAGCTGTATGAATTGGCCTAAATTCTTAATGAAGGATACCAATTTCCCAGCCAGAGGACTTAGTATCTTATGGAGAAAATCAGTGAAATACTAGCAAGGGGAACAGTGTTCTGGTCATCAGAATGAGGTGACACTGGTCACCAAATTCTACAGGAAATCCACCGACATTGGCATTTATATTAACTTCAAATCTATTATTATTATTATTATTTTGGAGGGGGGGTTTCCCCATGCACTGCGACTAGTTTTTAATCTATTGTGCGTCCCCCTTAATTATTCTACCAGTCGCCATGCCTTTCCAGTACTGGTGCTCGCTATCAGCCCCGTTCTGCCAGCGAGGTCGGCCCTTTCTGGCAGTGGTCCCCGATACTTCCCCATCTACAGGAGGAATTGGAAACTACTTGGGTGGTAAACTTGGCCTAATTTTGCTGAGGTCTCCTAGAGACATGAGGATCTTTTACGTGCCGTAAATCTGCGACACGGGGCACACGGAGTCATGAGGTGGGAACGTTACCCCTAGACTACGGAGGCTGCTTAACTTCAAATCTAACCATCCACTGCATGTGAAAAAAGGTTTGATTCGAAGTCTTCACAACAGAGCTTCCACCACATGTCAAGAACAAGATCTCTTTAATGAAATTAGCAGCCTGAGACATGACCTTCAGCTTGACAGTTATCCCTAAGGCTTCATTTACTTGGGCATTATTTCCAAGGGTAACAGTACAAATAAAGCAGCAAAGTGTCTGGGCTCTGTGTGTATTCCACATTAGACGGGTGTTTCAGAGAAGTTCAAATATGGCAAATTGATATAACATTAGGACGATCTTCAGGACTAAACACACTCTTAGGAGTTCACTCATGGAACCTAGGCCGGAAAGAAATCTGCAACATATGGCACAGTGCATCTATAGCATTCCCTGTGAATGTGACAGATGCAACACTGGCAAAACAGGCAAACCGCTAGCTGTGTGGCTCCTTGAACACAGGCACAGTCTCAAAAAAGTTCTTCCAGAAAAATCAAAATTAGCCGAATATGCCTATGAAGAGGGTCATAGGTTAGGGTGGGTTTAAGCTAGGATTTTGGAAATTGAGAGTAATGGCAGGTATAGGAAATACAAGGAATGGGCCCATATGGAATGCTTAACCAATCCAATCAGCCAACCCAGTTTGGACATTATTCCCATCTACAGTAAATCCCTCTTATCAGAAATGATATTGCTGACTCACAGGGAAGATCTGTATGATATGAAAGATTCTTCATGGGTTTCTATAAGGTTTTAAGTCTCTAGCTTCCCAGTTTTATTTCACAGATGACACTAGCAGTAGACACTGTATGTTTTCACATATAATCCATTTCATTCTATGCATTGGTGTTCATGGACTTTGTTTGTTTGCTAGGTTTGCAGCATAAATTTCTACTCCCTTACTGTCCTATTTCACAAATTTGTGCGCTTTATCACAATTTTTATTGTACATTTTCTTCTCCCTTCTACATAGCCTGATCTCAGGTATTTAAATAGCTGTAGTGAATCTGGGGTTGTCCAGTGACTGAGGTTAGCTGTTTCTAAGGGATCCAAATGAGTATATGTCTCCCCACTCACCTGAGGATGCAAACAGATCCAGTTACTGAAATGTTTTGGTTTCTAGTTTTTAGAATACCAGGCAATGAGCAAAGTCTAAAATCCCAGTAACTCTGAGTGTTATACACCATTGTCAGAACCCTTTAGGATCTACTTTTATTTATGATGTTTGCAGGTAGCAACAATGAAGCTCAGGCATTTCTGTCTCGAGGAGGTCAAGTTATTGTACGGATGCGTGGGCTACCCTATGACTGCACAGCAAAACAAGTTGTAAGTAACTGATACTGAACAATGTTTATAGGAGTCAATTTTGAATTAAGCTGACTGAGGCAGTCTAATTTGTGCATAAAATTTTTCAACTCGGACACTGGGATTGTAGGTATGAATCACAATTTTCTCTGTTGTTCTATGTAGGTAGTAAGCCTTACAATGTGTGAGAGACACATTCATAGAGCACAAACTCCTGTCTCAGTAAATATTTAGGAAAATATCTACAGTTGAGTTCAGGCGATGACACCAACAAGAATAATGACATCTAAAATCAGATTAAATAAGATTTAACCTGAAAATTACACACCCTACTTAGAGACTGATGAATATTCAAGAAGTTGTTACCTAATCAATGTTCTTATTTTCATCTATTTCAGTTGGACTTTTTTGAGGCAGGTGAGAATTCCTGCCAGGTGATGGATGGTGAAGAAGGAGTACTGTTCGTAAAGAAGCCTGATGGCCGGGCAACAGGTGACGCATTCGTTCTCTTTAACCAGGAGGAGGATGCAGGCAAAGCTCTAAGCAAGCACCGTGAACTAATTGGTTCCCGGTACATTGAACTGTTCCGCAGCACGACAGCTGAGGTCCAGCAGGTGAGCTCATAGGTGTATAATATAGGCAGCATATGACTCTTGCAAGAATTTTACCAGCCTATGAAGATTACCGGAGAGAAGAATGTATTAAATCTATGGGTCATTTCAGTTACATTGTAAGTCTGATCATTAAGTTACCTATGATGATGAAAATCTCTGAACATGAAGTATATCTGTAACTCCAATAAATACAGCCTGTTATTTTTATTAACATAGGCTATTTTGGATTTTACTTAGAGCCTATCAGAATCGCAGCAGGAGTATAAAATGTTGAGAGAGAGTCTGCAACTGTGGTAGGTGAAACCCCTGAATTAGCCGATTTGCTATTGCATTTCTGTTTAAACCCTCAGATAAATTTTTAAATCACCATTGTATTAGGCTCTCAAGTGGTATTTAAATTTCTGTGTAGCACTTTGTTCACATGCTGTTCAAAATTCCCCATATGTTGTAAACTGTGCTACAGAATTAAACAAATATTCATGGAATAAATGGTACTAATGTCAGCTTTACCATACTGGGGCTGTTTTCCATATTAGCTAATCTGAAACATGTTCAGAACTAAGGAAACGGTCATGTTGACTGACAAGCACAAAGGCTGTCAATTTATATGTATTGTGACATGTTGTGCTAGGGTAACAGGCAGGTCAACACCATCCCCCCCTCCCCCGCCAGCGGTGATGTGCCGAGCGGAGCCGAAGTGAGCCGAGTCCAAGCATGCTGGTCACTATGCAAAGCGAATAAACAGTGGTAATAAACAGAGGTACCCATCATGTAACAGGCAAACACGGCGACTAGGCAACAAGGAAGCGAGGCGTTTCCTGTTGTCCAGCTGAGGGTTTATAAGAGAACTACACTGCCTACGAAGTCAGTTAAAGTGTAGCAGCCTACGAAGCGAGTTGAAATAGAGCAGCCTCCGAAGACAGTTGAATTGTAGTAGTCACCGAGTTCAGTTGTAATGAGTGAATCATGATAGTGTGAAGAGATTTGTGTGTAGGGTTGTTAAAGTGTGTAAACCCGTAACATTGTTATAATTAATTGTAGCCAAGACTTGTAGGTTGTTAAATAAACCAATTAACAATCCGAACGCGTCTTCAGTAACAGTGACTAAACATGTTACACTGGTGTCAGAATGGTTTACGAACTTCAACACGTCTCAACGAATAATCGAATTTACGAGTGCATAAAGTGTTATCTTACAAAAAATAATGGACTAACAGCACACGATGGAACTCCTGAGGGAAAAATTGGAGGGCCGAGAGAGAAGTTGCCAACAAAAGTTTTGATGATAGGTGGAAAGCCTGGCGAGAAAAGATGGCCTCCTTGTGAGCAGAAATGGAAGCCATCCGAGCAGAAACAAGAGCCATCCAAGAAAGGATGGAAGCCAGGCTGGCAAGAATGGGCGCCAACACGGAATCCCACGAAGCTAAGATGGAGGCCAGCTATAAAGGATTTATGGCCGGAATGAATACCTACCGAGAAAAGACGAATGTGTCTCAAGAAGAGGAAAAGCCGACCGCCGTGGACACGAAACCTGAGCCGAACAACAAGAAGAGGTCCCTGTAGATGCCGCCGCAGTGATACCGGTCAGTGAACCTGAAGATGAATTGCTGCTGATTACCCAAAAAGAGACAGTGGCCTGCCCAGAAAAGATGGAGGCATGTCAAGAAGAAAAGCCGGACTCAGTGAACAAGAAACCTGAGGCAGCAAAACAACGAGAGGTACCTGTAGAAGACACTGAAGTAATGCCGGTCGGAGAACCAAAGAAGAAAAGGCGTAGGGACCGAAACAAGCGACTAAATATGAAGAATTCGACACAGGATAATTGTGGACCCCAGAAGAAGTTGGCTGTAGCCCGCAGAGGGATGAGACTCCGTGTGGAAGAGGCACGGCAGAAGAAAACCGGCAGGAAGATGTCCCGCCGTGTGACAGTGGCATGGCTCAAGAGGAATATCTTGAGGAAATCTTTGACCCAAAGAAATTGTGGACTACTGAAGAGAAGAGACACAAGGATGCCCCCCCCCCCTGCGCAACAGCGGCAAGACACAAGAGAGACAGCGTGGAAAACGACCTTTCTCTGGGAACTGGTGGATCTGGGAGGAAACGATTGGTCACAGCCGACAAGCGCAAGAGACTCAGACTCCAGGGAGATCAGTTTTAGCCATGCATAAGCCTGCATAAAGATGTGTCAAAGAAAGCACGAGAAGAACTTGAACGTGAGGGGACGACACAAGGACTCTTTGTGAAAAGAAATTTCGAGGCATGTGCAAGTGCACAAGCAGATGTGCTGCACGGAATCCCAGCAGATACGAACATCAAAAACTGGACACTGTGGAGGGGTCGATCGCCTCTGAAACGAAAAAATTGAATAGCACACAGGAGAAGCTGGTAACGTAGAAGTACCGGCCTCCCAAGCAAGAGTGAATTTGAGGCGAATGAATGTGATACAACTGGATCTTCTGGCGAGTTGAAAGGAAACCGCTCGATGCGAGCTGGTCTTAAGAGGGGAGCAGTTGTAATGGCCGGAGAACAGTCGCTGCAAGAAGTAGCCAAAATACCAGGAGACACAGAAAGCACATCATTGGAAGAAAAGGAACGGGGGTGCACCGTTAGGCTATTTGGGATGAACAGCCTTAAGGAGGGAGCAGTGTGACATGTTGGGCTACGGTAATAGGCAGGTCAACACCACCCCCCACCCCCATCCCCCGCCAGCGGTGACGTGCTGAGCAGAGCCGAAGTGAGCTGAGTCCAAGCACGCTGGTCACTATGCAAAGCGAGTAAACAGTGGTTGCTAGAGATGACGGTAATAAACAGCGGTACCCATCATGTAACAGGCAAACACAGTGACTAGGCAACAAGGAAGCGAGGCATTTCCCATTGTCTGGCTGAGGGTTTATAAGAGAACTGCACTGCCTACAAAGTCAGTTAAAGTATAGCAGCCTACGAAGCGAGTTGAAATAGAGCAGCCGCCGAAGACAGTTGAATTGTAGTAGTCACCGAATTCAGTTGTAATGAGTGAATCGTGATAGTGTGAAGAGATTTGTGTGTAGGGTTGTTAAAGTGTGTAAACCCATAACATTGTTATAATTAATTGTAGCCAAGATTTGTAGGTTGTTAAATAAACCAATTAACAATCTGAACGGCGTCTTCAGTAACAGTGACTAAACACGTTACAGTACATTTTCTGCCCGTGTATTGCGGTTCTTAGAAAAACAACAGACAGTAGGAAATATCAGGACCTACAGAGCATATTGGAGTGATGTAGTTTCATAATCTCTCAAAAGAGAGCATCTGTAAAGGGATTTTAAAATGCTAAAGACAGTGTACTTAGAGTTATTAAACCACTGTATTGGCAGGGTAGTAAGCAGAGTATACAGGTTCAGGGAACCAGTTTGAGGAAATTATTAAATTATTCTTCAATCTGATAGTTATCTGTGACCTTCATTTTATTATTGATTGTGAATGTAATATAACATTAGTCTTTATTCTCAAGTCCAGTTCCAGTTTTGTCACAGATCTGCCAACATGGTTACCCCTTACACTCCTCATTAATGCATTTATTTTAAAGAGAGCCAAGGTAGCTAGATAATTAATTACATGAGTCTGTCCATCACATGTTTCTGAAGAACTCCCACATGTAATTAAGATATGACACTCATTATGCATATAGAGGACTGAGATAGCATCTGGAAAATGAGAACTTCTAAGGTATGTGTTAGGTTTGAACCCTCAACTGTTAGATATTTTTCTACATTTAGCATCTCTTGTGAGATAAGTCAAAACTCAGCAGAAGAGGTAAAAGTGTTTGTTTTCATGGCACTTCTATAGAAAATTGACACAAATTAGATATATTAAGAATTGATTTTTCAAATTTTGGAATTAACTAACTCAGGGGATCAGAGTCCTACTTGAACAGTGAATGTTCTCTCAGCTAATCAAGAAATTTCATCTATCTTCTGTCTTTATCCCTGTTGTCCCCACTTGGAGCATAAGGCATCCATGAAACACTTTGTTTGTTTCACTTCAGTTTCTTATCTTAGAGAGTTGGTAGGACTCCTTGGACGAGTGATCACTCATCGCAAGACCACTACCTACAAACAAACAGAATAAATGCAGACAAACATGTATGCCTTGAGTGAGATTCGAACCCATTATCCCAGTGTGCAAGTGAGTGAAGACATTTCATGCTTTATACTTTGTGGTCACTGTGATCATTGAGAAATTCCATGCTTTTGTGGAAAACTGAAGTTCTTTACCATATTCACTAGAGTGTGTTACTGTTCCTATCCAGAGTCAGATGAATCCAGACCACACTTGGACACCCAGTTTCTTTAAAATCTATGTTAATATTATTCTCCTGTCTATGCTGAGGTCATCCAAGTGAACTCTTTCCTTGAAGTTTGTTGAATAATATGCTTATTGCATTTCTGATCTTCACCACACATGCCCCATCCATCTCATCAACTTTGTTATACAAAAAAGTGGAAATATGTTAAGTGTAAATAATCGAATAATTAAATAAGTAAAAAAATTTTTCCATCCATGTTTCAGCCACTAGTGGCCATTATCAGGGGGAAAACCAGTATTATGAAGGAATTACTTTATATATGCTGCTATTGAACACAAGTTGTTATTATTAGATCATTGAAGGGACATGTGATATTTCTGAATATTAAGACAAAGTTGTTAAATTCTCAAAATATATCAAAAAATCATGTTGAGTTGATAGAAGAAGGATGTAGTAATGGCCTTTGTAATAATTTCTAGTGCTGGCTGCTTAGAATTTTATTCAGTCTTGTGTCAGTCTTTATATTGCTGTTCAGTGTGTTCAGCTCATCATTACAAACACAAACACTATATGAATCAATGAAATTCGACATAAAAAATCATTACAAAGGCTGTCACTATGTCCTTCTCATGCCAACTCAACAAATTTTGCTTATTTAATTATTAAATTAGTTATGTTTAATATGTTTCTACTTTTTTATATATTGAAAGAGTATAACAATCAAGATGTTCTTTGTAAATTCATCTGCCTTGAATTGATCATGTTAATAACATTTGCCAAAGAGTACAAGTTATTGAACTCCTCATGCAGCTTGCTTCAGCTTTCTCTTGCATCCTCTCTCTTATTCCCCTCAGTAGCCTGATCTCAAATGTGATCAATCTGTATTCTTGTATTTGGATGAGAGAACAGGCTTTATACCCACATGCAACAACTGGAAAAATCACACTTCTGTATATTTTAAAGAAGGATTCATGTTTCACTTATATCGTTTTTTATTAACACTGAAGTGAATATGAAATTGAGGAAATTCAAATTATTAATTATTATCAATATAGGGAAGGTATCTTCTGATGTAAGAGTACCCCTAATTACTTAGCATGTGAAACAAAACCATGTAGTCACATCCACTAAGTCATTGCTTTCTGGCGTCACATTTGAAATGGTATAGCTAACATTACTAAATTTCGTTTTATAACTGCAGCATCTTAAACTGCACATAAGATTCAGTGGTTACCACTGGCTATAACTAAATGTAACAAGTACAAGAACAGTCTAGAGTTCTCTGTACTGTTATAATTATATTCATTGCTAAGTGTAAAACATGCATTGAGTCATAACACTGATTTATTCTTTGCAGCTTGCATTCATGGGACTTCTTTTCTGGTATGTTAAAATACAGGTTAGCCCACAGCATGGGATAGTTATGAAATTGTTAGATTAGGTTTACATTTGGTATAAAGTTATGGATGTTATCTAATCTCAGCCAGTGTGTGCCATAAACTGTGAGAGAATAGTTGTTTTGGAAGAGTGTCTGACACTTTAACGTTTGTTAGTAGTATTATCAAGGACTGATGTGAATAATTCAGAGCATCACTGCGATACTTTATATGGAAGTCTTAATTAGGTTTATTATTTGTTAATAGATGTCAGTGGATTAGGAGTGTAAATAAAACACACATTCTGTGACATGTCTGGTGGTAGATGACATACTGTAGCATGCTAAATAGGTTGAAGTATGTGGTAACTGTATTATGAAGTTATTTCATGATATTCTGTTTCAGGCTTGCATGAGCACTCATGCAAAGGACATGGAATGAAGTCAAAAGTTAGTTGAAAGGGAACAGATTAGAGAAATTCAGGCCTTAGGGATATGAGATCAGTGCTATGGTTGCTGAGAACTCTTATAATGGTTAGAGTGGAAAGATTTACAAGGTTTTTAAGTTACATAGTTTTTACTGCTGTGCTGTTTCTCTTATCCTTCATGAATGTTAAAATGACACAGTAAGGAATATAGCTTTGGAACAGGAGTTTTTAGATATTTCAGGGAGAGATGAATGAATGCCCAATATGATTCTGCAAGCCTCATTTTCCTTACCAAAGTCAGTTATAGAGGAGGAAATAAACAGAAGGGGGATGTTTAAATTAAATTGTAAATTACAATTTATAGAAGATTATTATCGTTTGGAATGAATTCTTAGGTCAAGTTATAGCAAAGATACCAATCATGCCAACAGCTAGAATGGCCTTGAAATTAGTGCTGCCCTCTATGAGCCACTAGATGAATGATGAGAAGTGAGGTTATGTTACATTGCTCTCAGCTGATTGTTAGCACTAAGCCATGTGCTGCTTACAGTAGACATAATGAGTAAGTTGTAACAGTGTTTTGTGGATACTTTTTTATTGTGCAGGTTTTAAATAGGTCAATGGACCCCAAAACTTATGAGCCACAAATGCCACTGATAGCACAAGTACCACAAGTGCCATTGTTGCCACAACATATAATCACTTCTGGGACACGAAAAGACTGCATACGACTTCGAGGGCTTCCGTATGAAGCCCAAGTGGAACATATATTGGACTTTTTGGGAGATCATGCAAAGAATATTGTCTTTCAAGGTGTCCATATGGTGTACAATGCACAGGTAAGTTTCATGTAAAATTTTTTACTGTGGTACTAATACCTGAAACATTTTTTATAAAATAGTAGGGAGAGGGAGAATTAATTATTTATTAGAAGAACAGTCTTAAAAGGTGCATGTAGAAAGGTTTAAATTGTAATGCATGTCTGGTGTTTGTTAGTAGGTTTCTGTAATCTTGAGATTGTATATGGGAATAAATTCTAATTGTCTGTTTTGTTGCTGTAATTATTAAATGCCCTGCCTGATTTTTGTGTTCGTCATATTTATAAAGAACAGCAGGTACTTGGACTTTGAACATAACCTAAAACGTGACACTGCTATTGTGAGAGATGAAAGAAGGACACTTGAGAGAGTAACATGAATAATAAAAAGATTAGGACACAGTTACAAAGTTTAATGGGCCTCCAGTAATGCATTATATTTAACCATATCCAGTTGTGACAAAAATTGCATTGCCAGTTTTCTCAAGTTATTATCAGTACATTTAATTCAGTCTTTTCCACGCTCTAAACAAGATAAATCTCATAGATAAGTTGCACAGATATACATTGATATGTTTAATTTAACCATTTCCATTCCATGAAAGGGATACATTTCTTTGGAACTTAATTCTTCTGCCCTAATTGCCTTACACCTTTGACATTATCATCCAAAAGAAGCCGCTTATACTGTGTTACGACAGTTTAAGCCATCCATATGCAGTTTTAAAACAGTGAAAATGATATGCCTAAGGTGACACAGAAAAAACAAAAGTATCCTTGTAATAAATTATTCAGCATAGAAAGGGTTAATAAATAAATTTAGTGTGAGACAGGCCTACCTTATGAGAGTTAAGATGCTGAAACTATACAGCTATCAGAGATTTAATTTTTTTTATTCTTTCTTCATAGTATTTAAATTGGGTCAGGCTGACTCCTAAAATAGTTGGTGTCCTCGGCATTGTTAGATGGGAATTTAGCTTAGGTTCTTAAATGGTAGAATTGTAAAAAGAAGAAAGGCTTTTGAGTGACATTTGTAAGAGCAGTGTAAGGAAAATAAAAGGAAGGCCTTTACAGGGTTTACATGAATAATGGTTGTAACATAGATTGGATAATGAATGGGTGTAATATCAATAATGTATAGAAAAAATTAACATCAAAGCTAATATCACTTTACCAACACATTAAAGTTGACTTGTTTATGGTTAGTGCCCAGTTTGAATTTGCCAAAGCAATGGCTATACTGATTTGAAAATATGGCAGAGTTCAGATACTTTAGAGCAACAGTAACAAGTTAAAATTTGATTCATTATTAAAATAAGAGCAGATTACATTCTGGTAATACTTGCTACCATTCAGTTGAGAACCTTTTGTCTTCTTGTTTGCTGTCTAAGAACGTAAAAATTAAAATATACAAAGTTATAATTGTGCTTGTAGTTTTATATGGGTGTGAAACTTGATGTCTGACATTAAGGTTGGAAAGACTGAGGGTGTTTGGGCGTTTGGGAATGGGTGTTGAGAATATTTGGACTGAAAAAGAATAAAATCATAAGAGGCTGGAGAAAATTGCATACTGAGGATCTCCCATACTGTGTTCACTTTGCCAGATACAATCAGAATTATCAAGACATGGAGGATGAGATGAGCAGGGTATGTAGCATGCATGGGAAGAGCAGGAATGCATATAGGGTGTTGGCGGGAAAGTCAGAAGGAAAGAGACCACTAAGAAGACATAGATGTGAATGGGTTAATAACATTAAAATGAATCATAGTGAATTAGGATGGAGTGGTTTGGACTGCATCTGGCATAGGATAGAGACCAGTGGTGTGCTGTTAATGAATGAAGTATTGAACCATTTGATTCCATAAAATTAGTCTAGAATAGCTGAGTGACTGATCTCAAGAAGAATTTGGCTCCATGGAGTTAGGTAGTGGTTATAGCAATATAATGATATACTGCTCAGAAAATATTAGGATGAAGATTGAGAAATTATTGAGTCAAATCAGTGTTTACAAATTTACCATGTAATAATTTCACTTTTCTCCTACAGAGAAAGTGGATGCATTTTGTCACTTATAAAATCTATAACTTGAATCAAACAATCCTAAGCTGTGGTTAACTGAGTGATTCTTAAATTAGTTAGCAATGCTGTTGCAGCTGCATAAGTTATGAAGCATACACTGAGTTTGGAGTATATCATATGTAGTGAGTAGATATGGATTTAGAAGAAGGAGTGGCTTAAGAAAATCTAGAACCAAAATGTCAGTAGCCGGTAATCAGACTGCTGTTTGAATTACATTCCTCCCACATACAAGTCTAGAATGTTACTTGTATGCACCTTCTCAGTTTGAAAAGCAGATGTTGAAAAATGATTGGTATGAATTTAATGTTCTACAATCCAAAACCCATAATTTAAGTTATACAAACCAAAGACTTGTACTTAGTCGTTACATTTTTGCAAGAGGTTTTTATTATAAAGTCACCTACATTCAAACTATATTGAGTTCTATTCTCAGCATAGGTTGTAAATTTAAAGACCAAGCAGAAGTATATTAATTATTTGTTAACATTATCCTATAGTCACAGGAAGTATTACTGAAGGTATTTATTATATCTGATTAATTTACATTGGAAATGGCCTTTCGTATGTAACAAAATTGAGAAATGCGGAAATCATGAGGGGGTGTAGGGTGCCAACAGAATGAATTGCCTGTGCAGGGTCAGCCTTCTGGTGAAGCATTCATCCAGATGGATTCAGAGCAGAGTGCATTCCAATCAGCACAGCAGAAGCATCACCGCTACATGATCTTTGGGAAGAAGCAGCGCTACATTGAAGTGTTTCAGTGTTCTGGTGAAGACATGAACCTGGTGCTCACTGGCGGCATACCAGCTGGCGCTGTGTCTCCTGCCAAAGCAGCTACTCTGTTATCTCCTGGTATGTTGCCACCCCATCCACCCCCACCAATTGGTAGTGCAGTTGCCACCCCCTTGCCACCTCCTACTCCAGCTCTCCCATGGGAACCATCCCATGCACTGGTGCAGGCTCAGGTTGCAGTTGCTCAACAAGTGCAGGCACATGCATTGGCCCAACAGAACTTAGCAATCCGTCAGTCGCAGGCTCAGCAAGAAGGTCTATGGTTCATGAACCAATTAGCTGTTGCCCAACAGCACCAAGCTGCCATGGCTGCTGCTCTTGTTGCAGCGACCTCATCCAGTAATTCTGCAGCCAAGCAGAACTGGAATGAACTTAATGGCAATGCTACAACGGGCATCGTTTCATCTGGTCAGCCGACCAACCCGACTGTGTCTGTCTCATTAGCCAAGTCCACATCTAGCACAGCTAACACTCAGTCGCAATTGGTTCCTCCACCCACTAATCCAGCTGTTACATCTGCTTATGGGCCACTGATTCCGCATGCTTCTCCATTTCCTGGAACAACTCATCCCTCACCAGTAGCTAGTGCTCCCCCAGGATTGTTTCTGTTAAATATGCCTCCACGACTTCCTCTAGGAGGTGCCCCTCTATTACCTCCACAAGCTTCAGCTGGACTCACTGTCACATCAAATTTTCACCCCAAGGGTCCACCACCACAGTTACCTGCTGGAACTTCATTTCCACCAGGAACTGCACATCCACCCCCGCCTCATGCAGTGCTTTCTCCCATTATACAGTCCCCTGTGACTGCAGCAGCAATCATGGGTTTGAAGCGTTCATGGGAGCAGGCCTTCCCAACAGAGATGCAAACCACAGGAGCAGTTAAGAGGCAGTGGCAACCCCCACATTCAGCAACCACAACATTCCACCCTTCAGCAGGATTGCCAACAGTTGCTTATCAGGCACCATTCTACCCTGCTCTTTGAAGATTTTTGTAACATTCCATAGATATATTCCAATAACAACATTCCCTTAATATAACATATTTATAAATAATGTTGGCATTACTTTTAGTGTAGATTCTCACTATAAAACCTATACAGTTTACCCAAGCCACTAACTCTATAAGTTGACCTGTATTTGTAAGTACTGTAGAAGGTTTCTGTGGCAGATGATAGGGGATTCAGTTGTCATGAATGACACAGTACTTGGCATTCTGAGCTATTCCAATTTGGGCAGGAAAGCCTGGGTTTTGCTTGGCAAAAAGGAAACTTTGATTCTGCAGTTTAATTGCATACCTATGTATTGTATTGTGAGTACACTGACTCATCAAAATGCTCACATACCATGGCCATGATGCCTATAGGTGTGGATAATCTCAATGTTATGTTTTGCTGTGTGTTGTAGGAGCTTATTCTGAAGTAATTCAGTCTTCCTGAATATTCAGTTGGATTTTTCTTTCTCACTTCCATTCAGATATTAAACTCTTTTATTACTGAAAATAAGAGGGAGATAAACTTTCATCATACTTTTGCCTTTGATCAGCTCACTCAGTTTATGAATTTTTACAGAGACGGATCTTCTGTGAATATTTTTTTTCACACCCTTGTTAGAAGAATAGTTTTGTTTATGTAGTATCATATTTGATATCATGTACTATCTCAGGACGCAGTTGAAAGCTAAGCAATACAGTTTGAGACAGTACATTTTAAGATATTTGTAATTTACAACAGTCAAGTGCCTTTGTAAGACTTAACATGTGCCTTTGCTTGAAACTAACACTGTTACTCTGCGGCATGTAGGTTGTCAGTTGGGCAGCTCTTTAAGACTTGCAGATTGAAGTGAAGGCTTTTATTTCACCTTTACTCAGTATCCTTAGATGACAAGGTTGTGGACATGATACAGGCTAAAATGTAAGAAGCATACATAGCTGATTGTATGATTTTGTTTTCTGTTTTGGAGTTAACATTTTTAAGTGACTAAACATGTCATACATCAGACTCTACATGTGTCTTATTGCACATATAAGGTAACATTCATTGTTGATTGATGAAGGAAAGCAAATGGTATTTGTAAGAAAAGGAGTAGTTTCTCTCATTCCAGTTGATATTTTTTTTTTGGTTGTGATGGTTGTAAGAGTTCATATAAATTGTACAAGCACTGTTGGCAACTTTTATGTTTATTGAGATTTCTCATGTGCCTTCCACACTGCCTTACTTCTGAAGTAGTGCTGCTTCAACTTTTGAGACATAAGAGTGAAATAAAAAATGAACTCTCAGGGTGACATTTGCTTTCTTTCAGAGTAGTTTATCTTCCATTAGAATTAAATAGAAAGCATGTTTGAACCAAGATGAAGTGATTTGTTGTCTGGGTTAGGGGTATATCCTGGCTAGGCAAACTCTTGCACCTGTATCTCTAGTGCAACAAGGAAACAAGTTAATGGACTGCACCAAAATGTGTTGTGTTGTGATGTAGAATTTCTCCTTGTCTACACTTTGCTGTGACTTTATTTAAAGTGAACAAGTGCTGAATGGAGATGGGCTTGCTGTTGTTTTGTTTTCCCAAAACGTAAACATGTGGAGCCATAAACTGATGTGACAACAGGGTTCTATACCCTACATCATTTAATAAACCAGAGCAATCCATAAAAAAATTACTTTGTTATTTCCTCCATTGTTATTTTTTGTTACCTGTGTCACTTGTTTGTACATTTATGGTCTTACCTAACATGTTTTTTTTCATGGATTGCAAGTTGAAAGCCTCTTCTAAGGCTATCAATCCAAATTATTATTTTGACAGATATTAATTTCTTCTCATTACATCAGGATTTTTAAATTTCATTAGAATGACATATTGTACAAGAAATATCAGTTCATACTTCAATATGATTTTATGGGTAATCTTCATGTTGCTTGGCTTAATGGATGGATACCCATAGAACAGGCTTTTGTGTAAGTTTGGAGGAAGTTGGTGCTGGGAAAAGTTTTAAAAATTGTGTGTTCTTTATTCCCTACATTTATAAGGAGCAGGGCAATGGGTTATAAATTTTCTTTGGGCTGTTGAATGGAGTACTGGATTGCAATGATATTCTCACAAGGTCTGGATACAGTGACAGAGCACACAGCCACAATACTGCCATGTAATGCATTCTTATTACTATAAATTTTGATATGCTGCCATTTACTGTGAGAGTCTTGTCTTTTGAAATTAGAAAAAGTAAAGTTCTCCTTGGCATACAACATTGTGGATGTAAATCTTTCCACAATCTTAACTTCTACACTGGATGGAGGTGAGTGGTCAGTTTCATGCTCTGGCCAGAGCTCATCTTACTTGTCTTACTTTTAGGTGTTAAGATAGTTAATAGATGAGATGATACTCTGCCAGCCAAATTACTCTTTATGTTTGAGGAGAGAACATTAATTTCAGTAATGATTAATTACCATGTGTTATTTGTATTAAAACCCAACTCCGAAGATAGGATTTGTGAATCCATCCTGAAGTGCAGCTATTTTGATTTGTAGCATCTTGTCTTTTGTTACTGTGGACATGACCAAATCTTGTGAGTTCCTGAAACTGTTTCTTGTGGGAACCATGGGACCAAGCACGAACCAAGGTTTAAGGTCATAAAAACCCCCATATTAAGTAATTTTTTTTGCTAGCTCATAAATGCTTCTCTAAGGGTTTGGTATGCTCTTCTATAACTCATATTTTGTTGTTGTTGATATGTATAGTGAAATATGTTAGTGGTAAGAAGAGCAAAATTGTGAACAAAAGAAAGTGGGAACTAACAAGTAGACTTTCTTTTTGTTAAGTTTTGTTAGTCCTGCTTATTATTTCTCAAGTTTTTGAATAGTATTTTGTGTAATGTTTTCTTTTAAAAGCTCTTAATTTCCAAACAAAATTTGCATTCTATTTTAGTTTTTTCTGCCCTGGTCTTTGGACTTAAATGGAATATATAAGGATAAACTACTTGGATTTTTAAGAAATGTGTTGTAGTTATGTAATATGAGTAGTGAATTTATCACAGTTTTTTATAATACAATTTGTTCTCTTTTTGGCTTTCGCTAGAAGGTAGCTGTGGTAGGCTGTCTCCTTTATGTGGGCTATTTGATTCAAAATGCTGCTGTGTCAAACTAACAGCTAACCTCCAGAACTGTGTATGTTGTTGACTTGTTATACTTGAAAGACCTCCTTGCTTTTCTAGCGAGAGTTAAAAATATCAAAAACAGTAGTGATGTATTATTTTTGTATCTTGATTTCAAGGAGTAAGGCATATGATGATTGATTAATAAACTCCGTTTTTGTGAAATTTGTTCACAGCTAATGAGGTTATGTTTGTTGGGATCTTGGGGTGATGGTCTTTTTTCTTATGATATTTTGAAATCTTCACAAGAATGTTAAATATTTATTACAGGCGTAACAGTTGAAACTGCTAATGCTACATAATGGGTTTCTGTTTTTTTTTTTCGGGTCTTACATTCTTAAAAACCCTAAACCAAAACTGATATTTGAAAACTGAATGAATGCTGCTTTTCTTGAAAGTGAATGTTCAGATATGTATAAGAAAAAAGACATAGTGGAACAGGTTACGTACAAATCGTTGCTATGCTGAGCCTTTGCAACCTCACATTCTGGAAGGTAAAGGTAGGCGGACTCTATCAGACTTTGTAGTTACAGTTTGTGTTGTGTTTGTGTTATACCTGCTGCTGATGCGGTTGTTTACTGAGGATGTCAAAGCTTCAGTTCTGCATGCAATATAAGTGAGAACTATCAAATATGGGCTGATCATCCGGAGACGTGCATATGGCTTTAGCACCTGGTAATGGAAGCAGTGATCCTTCTATTTCATTCTACTTGAATTAGCATCATTTACACCATCTATGGATTAATTTCTTTATAAAACATAATTTTCTGAGTTTTCTCATAAATGAAGGGTTGTAGATTTGTCCTTCTTTTTGTATGACCTACCTTGCATTGTATGAAAGTGACAGTAATCTTGGTCTTTTGATTTGTCACTCCAGTACTGGGAAGAGAGAGATGTACAAACTTCCATATCATGGAAGATTGATTTATTTTTGTAACTGCACTTGTTAATCAAGTATCTGCTTTACCAAAAATAAGTGGAATTGGGTTGCTGATACTGTTACAGGAATTCAGAGAAGAGAAAGAGTTAAATTTCTTTGATCATTTGCTTGCATCATTAAGGAACCCATCATGTAATTCAAATGATATGGAAATTCTAATACCAATATGAAAGAAAAAGTTCCATATTTTGAAATGAAGTGTCCATATATCTGTCTCAGGGATTAATTTTCCTTTACATATGCACACTCTGTGCATTAAATTGTTCTCAGATTCATTAATACTATCTCTTTTCACACGCTCCTCACCAATTTCAAAAAGTTCAAGCCCAAAGCCCGTGACTCCATTAAACAGTATAATGCAAAATCTGACATGGTACAGTACCAGGTGGCACATTGAGATGGTATAGGCATGCCTGGTGTGTGGTTAGAACAGTTTTATATATCCAGTGTATTGCTTACATTTCAAATTTATGTCATTACAATTTCAACTATGATGGATGCATGTTGGGCAGATGGTTAATTGTAACAATAAATAAAACACCTATTTCTGCGCACTTTTGTTACTAGGGAAAGGTAACTTTATAACTCATACTTTTATGTGTTTCTCCCATTCGCAGACATATATATCAATTTCAGGGGTGGGAACATTTTTCAGGTTGTGAAAGTCATAGATGTTTGAGGAGCCAGAAAGTATGCATCCAAGAGTGATATAATATTAATAGATTTTTCATTGTTTAAAAGTACTGTGTACTGCTATCCATATATTTGGAAATTGGAAATTTCACAAGTAAAGCTTTTATACATGAAAGAAACTGGAAAGAATATATTCAAAGAATAAGCCCTAATGGGAGTTGTATAAATGGAAGAATTTTTTTCACTTCCGTGAAAGACGGTGAAATTTCAAACCTGGTTCCTCAATTTGTAATACTGCAAGCTCATATAAACACGACAAAGTACATGTGTCAGCTTTGACCTTCACTTCAATCCCTGATGGCTCTAGCAGTAACTCTGTGTGAGGAACATGGTGCTAGGGGTTTCTTTCCATTTTTTATATTCACAGTTCTGCCATTGAATGTTGTGAAAAAAAGATTTATTTTGATATATATATTCACATCACACTGCTAATTAAGTCTGTAGTGGCATACTAAATAGAATGTGTGTTGTGCGACTTGTGTTCACACAAAGTATGAATGGAGCTGTGTTTCAGATTAACAAGAAAAGATCCCCAAGCATACAGTGTCTATCCTGACTGCTTGGTGAAACAGCTGATTGGGAGTACTTTCCATTCTGGTGATGTAATGCATGTCAGTAGTGTCCTGTACTTAATGTAATATGGTTTCTTTGCAGGTGGTTTGGCAATTCAAAAACATTGTTGGGTAACTGGTACATATGCAAGATTCTTGGAAGGGAAATTTACTTGATTTCTTTCATTTGTGTTTCATGACTGATTTGTGTGTTATTACCTGTTCTTGATTAGCTGTGCTGAATTTCCAGAATCTTTTTAGGCATTAATTCTACATCTTGCACAAGAACATATCTGGGCTTTTATACATTTCCAAAGATTTCTTGCAAGCAATGTTTATATGTAATAACAAATCAAACATTGTCATATGAAAGTATAATTATTGTATTAGACATATCTTTTGGACCTGCTTACAGTAATTCATAAAAGTGAAGTAAAATGATGTACTCATAATATACAACTACATGCCCATAATATTCAGAAGGAAGAAAGGAGACAGTATTTCAATTGTTAGTAGCTTGAGGGCTCTCCTGTGAGATGGAATTGTGTATCATTGATTACCTTTGTATGTTAAAATGTTCGAGACAGCCTTTACAACTATCCAATTAAGCACTCTTTTGGACATATACTTGTATTTCATTATGCTGAAGAATACTGTATGCTCTGCAAGATCTTCTTTGGCAATTTCCTTTGAACACATTAGGGAGACATGTTGCAACATTGAATGCTGCAGGTACCTATATTCTTGCCTTCTGTTTGAGTTATTAACAAGAAAGGGGTGTGCGTTTGTGTGTGTGTGTCTCTCTTTCTAGAAGCCCAGAGTATTCAATGTTTAAGTCTTCTGGATATCACACCATGTCAAAATGATAAATATTACAAAGATTTCAGAAGACCTATTGCCTCATTCTTTTTCAGGATTGAAGCAATGAAATATATTATGTCATGAGGTTTACACAGGAATATAATAGTCACAAATTGTTATTGGTCAGGAATATAGCCAACAGTTACAAATTGTAATTGGTCAGGCCTAATAATTTGTGACAATCCTGCATGTTTTTACATACCCTCTGATACTTTACCATTACGTACACTAAAGAAGGAAACAGCAAGTTCTTCTGAAATGGTTTTAATGTTTACCATTTTAATATAGTGCAGTATTCAGAAGGCAGCCATGAAAACCTTAAGTTTCAGTCAAAGTTGAGATACCAGGCACCAATTGAACATTCGTTAACAGCTTTATAGTGTGTGCTCTTCTAAACACTAATTGTTGTCTTTTGGTGAGACTTTGTTAATATTTGGCTTTTTTTTTTTTTGTTATTTGTTCTTAGCAGGTTCAGTAACTGCAAGCAATGGGGTGATGCTATTTGGTTGGTGACTTCTTGGGGCGATTTTTAATTCAGTGGTGATGGAAGGTTTGGTTTGGGTTCAAACACCAGTAAGTAAGAGAAAACTCACTAGTATTGGAAGGCAACAATGACAGGTTTGAAATAATAGCATGCAGGCTGTGAATAGTGAGTTTTCGGTTTACTGGTGTCACTTTTTTGCTAAAGCTAAGTGTGTTTGTCTTGCATGATTGAGGAGGGTTAAGTATAGTGAATATAAGTCTTGGTCTCATATACACTTTCTGATTGAGAAGAGCATATCAGGGGCTTTTCAGTATTTTCTTTGTGTTGTTCTGATCACATCTAAATTTCCTCCCATTTAGTAGCATGTCTGAATTTTTTGCAGGCTACATAGCAGGAAGCTGATGGCTTAATATTATACTTGACAGAACAGAACAGAACAGAACATAAGCATTGTGAACCTATATTGCCTTTATGCTATTATGTTGCATTATGCTTTCCTCATGTTGTTGAATATGTAAACAGAATATATGCAAGTTTACACATATTTGTTATGGATCTGGATTTTATACATTACTAGAAACTGAACAGAGCAGGGAATCAGAACCACTGAATTTCACTCATATGATACCTGCAGGAGCAATTTAGTTGAACTGTAGGCATTTGTAGCTACTTAGAAGGAAGGGAGAATAGAGGGGTTCTTTTCAAGGGCATTCAATGCCTGATTTGTAAATAGAAAAAAGTCATGCCTGCAATTAAGACCAAACATTTTTATAATTTACATTTTATGTTTGTGTATAATTCAGTTTCTCCACAATCAACAATTACCTCACATAAGGAGGACTAATTACCAGTTGGTGAAGACAGGAGTATTAAAGAGAACCTCCATTATTGAAGGCAATGATTAAGTAGGGATATAATAAGAGCAAAAAGATTTGGAGAGTGCTGTAGTTATTCGAAATTAAGGACAGTAGTGAAAATATTATAATTGTCTTAAGATTTTAATAGCCACACATAATAATTATTGTCAAACTAGTACTTCAGATGTGACAGAAGAGATTATTATGCTAATTTGAGCCCTGACAAACTGGTAGCTCTGTGAAGCCTGACTCACTCTATGGTTCATGGTGAATACTACAACTTGTAGGTACATGTCTGATATCTGTGTGATAGCATACTTGTCTTGACAAGTTTAGCAAGCGCAGAGCTGTTGGGCCTTAACTGTAATAGTGTTTGGATAGCTCATCACAGTAATTGATGTTAAATATCTTGAATAAAGAATTAACATGGAATATTTGTTCAAACATGGAAAAAACCTAACTATGCTCTTTGACATGTTAACTCAAGTGTATGGAGAAGAGGTTATGTCAAGAGCACTTACAGCTGAATGGTGTAAAAAGTTTTCTAAAGGAAGGGACAAAGTTTAGTTTGACAGCTGTCCTGCAATATCTGACATCAAAATCAGATGGACATATCTAAAAAGTGAGGAATCTGGTGTGGAATTACTGGTGTCATACTATCAGAATGATTGCAAAAGAACTGCATGTCCGTAGATAGACTGTACATTTGAATTTGATGGGAAATTTTGGGATGAAGAATGTTCGTGAGAAGATGGTGCCCAAGAACCTCACTTACAACT